AAAGGCACACTTTTTTCATGAAAAAAGTGTGCCTTTGCACAAAAAAGGTTGAAAAACACTGGTTTAGAGCCTTAACCATATACCCTCTCAATCCAGATAATAAAGACAAGAGACACCCAAATCTGATTAAATCAGATGCTGAGGAGCCAATCAGGAGAGTGGGTTTCCTCTCTTGGGTTTTTACTATTGGCATGGGCAATCTCCATTATTTTTCTCCTTCTTTAGGCATTTCTGTGTCTCCTCTAGGGTTATCTGAAAGCCAGAAAAGGGGAAATCTCCATCTTCAAAGTCAGCAGGAACAAGGCTGGATCTAGTAATTTGGACATCAAGATAGTGTCAGTGAACCTACTTGTAACATATATTCTGATTTATTCTATGAACTGAGATATGGCATGTGAGATCAGGTGGCTCAGGGAAAAAAAGTTCTTCGGTAGACAGCAGCTGTTTCTTCTTCAGTAAATGATTTTATTTATTTATTTATTTATTTATTTTTCAGCCTTCTTCAGACAGAAAGGGATCTGCCATTTTCTTACTGGAAAACCAACTGCTCTGAAAAGGGTTTCCACTAGAATAAAGTGACTTGTGGGAGATAACAGAGCTGGCAATCCTTGGGAATTGCAAGGGGTGTAGCAGAGTTGTGAGAAGAGGGTTTGGAGGCCTTTCATTGGAATCATCAGGAGGTCCGAGCCATTACATCTTCAGCATGTACAGTTCATCACACAAAACAATTTTTTCTTCAAAAAATTGCAATGGTGTCAGGGTAAAGTTCAAATACTACATTAGATTAAATTTTACAAATAATGTAGTATTACAGACTACTTGATAGAAAATACCATGGCTTTTGAAAGAATATTTAGTAACAGAAGAATAATGGTTTCCTATTAAAATAGTTTCCTGTTTTCTCAGTCTTCTCCTTTCTCTTAAGCTATTTGCTATATTTATAATTTGTTTTATAATTTCTCATTCATTCTCACCATATCACCAAACTACCTCAACAAATTCTTTCATGTGTCACTCTGCTTTGTATTCAGTGTACATTAATTCAGTGCTCATTAAGTTTTGATCCCATCTCTTTTTATTTTACCACCTGTGTTCTTTTATGTACTCCATTACCAAAATATTCAACTTTTTTACATTTCACCTAACATACCCAATTCACACATCCATATTTTGAAAGGGAAGAAATACATTATGCTTCTTTTAACAAAGTTTCATTCCCCCCAATACATTATCCATTAACTTTTTTTTACATTGTTTATATGTTTAAAAACTTTGCATCCATTTCCCTATATAAGTAAACACTCTATCAAGGGGCACAAATTGCTATTTTCATCATTTATGTATAATTTTCCAGTATTTACCCAGCTTTCCCTGTGAAACTCAATTACCATTCCCTTTGATAACATTTATTTAACTGCACTCCAATCCAGGCATGTCATTGCAACATATAATGTATATAATATTTGCTAGAAATATTTAGGGTTGTCAGCTTAACAACATGAGATCATTTGTATACAAAAGTATTCATGTATTTAAATTCCAACCAACACCCTTCAAACATCAGCAGAAGCATTCCTTATGCCTTTTTCCATAAATACATTAAACTCTCAAGGGGATACTATACATCCTTATCTTGCTTATCTTGCTGCCTATTGAATCATTCTCTAAGCATTTCATTTATTCTTACACAATTCTGATACTGCATCATATGCACTTATTCATATTCTTCATATTCTTGCAGATGATTCTGTAACTCAGAACTCTACGTTATCATATACTTTTTCAATATCAACAAGTGGTCAAACATCCTACTATATAAAACATGTACAGTAATGGTTCAAGTGACATATTACTATTAAGTCGACCAGTGAGTAACCTATAATAGTGCAAGATTATATATGTGCGTGCTTTTCCTAATCAGATTTGATCTCATTACCAACCAGCTTCTAAAGTGGTTTATTTTTATTTAGGATTTGGACTTCAGCTCTTAGTTTAATTATCTGTTTTGACAAGTGTTTTGGACATTGTGGAAAATCAGTATTAAATGGACCAATGGATAATTGACATCTGAAAAATATGGCAAGTTTCACCAATGTCTTATAATCATTCTAGACTGCATATTTGTTATCTGTGAGTGCCTGTATGTGTTCACACAGTTGGAAAGAAGACGAAAGGATGAATTGTCTAGGAAAAAATGATGGTTTTTGTCTTTGTAGGGGTGATATATAAATGAGATAACACCTCAGATAAAGATAATTCTGTATGATTGAGTTGTGGCCAAATATCTTTGGTTAGTCCATATATATGTGACTTACTAGATATAGATTCTGAAATACCCTGGCGTTCAATTGGAATTTTTGTTCCAAATTTGGTTGAAATAACCTGACTATAATAAAGTTGTATAAAATTGAGCATATGTGACTATATTTCAGATGTGTGCAGGAGAAAAAGAGAAAAAATGAACATTTTAATATATTAATAGTGTGCAGCATAATTGCTTACATATATTTCCCAACAAGTATTAGAGCTGATATGGTATATACATTTAAGTAGGAAAAGTTCTCAGGTAACTCAGTGGGACTTAGTTTTGAGTATGTGTAGGATTGCTGTGATTCTCAAGCTTATCAGAATAAAATTCCTGTGTTGCAAATCTTGTGGAATTTTAAGGCATTTAGGTTAAAAATAGCATACAACAGATTTTCTAAATCTGACACTTATATTAGTGTTGTCAGCATATTAAGCTCTGTGACTTTTGGGTAAAGAATGTCTGAAAACAAATGAACAGTAGAAACTCACAGAGTTTTGCAAACTAATGAATTAATATATTTTTCTGATTTTTATAGGGAGATGTGCGAAATATCATTGTTCCTGAGAACGTGAATATTGGACAGAAATTTGATTATTCGGACACAATGGTACAACATAATTTGGATGAAGTGAAGGACCAAATTAAACGGGAAATAAGGAAGGAACTTAAAATCAAAGAAGGAGCAGAAAACCTCAGGAAGGTGACTACAGATAAAAAAAACTTGGCTTATATAGACAACATTTTGAAAAAATCAAACAAGAAGCTAGAGGAATTGCACCATAAATTACAGGAATTAAATGCTCACATTGTGGTAGCAGAAACTGAAGATGTTACAGGTATGCAACTTGTTTTCTTTCTTTTTGTCAAAGGTAGCAATTTAGGTGGAAACTGATTCTTTAGTGTTTTCAACATATTCATAAAGATTTTACCTGCTTTTAAATATTGTAAATTTTAGCAACATTTGCAGTTCATTACTTGCAGATGTTTATATGTTTAAAAAAAGTGGCCATCCTCATATCTGTTTAGTTACATGTGGAAACATCCAAATTTGGAATGTTTCTGTCATCTGGTTGTGATTAACTTTCTCTTCTGTATCATTATTTATGCCTTTTATTAAATATATTGATACTTCTCTGCCAAAGCGTCTCAAAGTGGTTAATGGTAAGAACAGCAGTAGAATACTTCAAAACAATAAAATACCATGTTGTTTTTTTTAATGTATTTCTTAAAATGATAAACATTCTTCCATCATTCATGCTGGGAAGACTTGGACAAAGTTTCAAGAGAATACCCTGTTTCCCCGAAAATAATACCTCCCTGGATAATAAGCTCAATTGGGCTTTTGAGTCCATGCGCTAAAATAAGCCCTCTCCGAAAATATTGCAACACAGCAGCTGCCATAAGGTGACCACGCTCACTGCCTCCTGCACCTAAAAAATAAGATCCGGGAAATTAAGGCCAACTGCTTATTTCAGGGATCAAAAGAAAATAAGACCCTGTCTTATATTTGGGGAAACACGGTATGTTATAATTGGTGCCTCCTGGATATCAGAGTAGAAAGTGTTCCAGAATGAGGTGCCACCACAGAGAAATCCCTCACATAAGTGTATAGAGGTTTTCAGCAGGACCTTCACTGAAGATATGATTGAACAGTTCTTTAAAGGCAATTTGGCAATAAGATTTAGGAGATTATGCTCCTAAATCTTAAAAATATGATAAGCTATTATATAATATTAAAAACAAAATTTAGAAGAATCATGGGAATTCATTTTGTGCTAATTATAGTTACATGGTGTATAATTTGATGGATTTAATGACATGCACAATATTTTTTACTCCATAGTATTACCCCAAAAATGAAAATTTAGTTCTGCAGTCTTGTTCTCTGACTACATTATGTTAATTTGCTGTAATATGATATGGTAGGAGTGTTACTGTTTTCTTTAAGTTCATCATTTAGTTAGTTTTTGATGTTGAAAATCAGTAGTTGAAAATCTTCAGCATTTGAGTAAACGGCTTTTCTACAAATTCTGAATCTGTGAAATATTTTAATGTTTATACTCTTAAAGTTCATTGGTGAATCTACAGGTAGTCTTCAACTTATGATCAGTTGTTTAATGAGCATTCAAAGTTAGGATGGACTCACCCAAAAGCTACTTACTACTTGATTTTGAAGTTGCAACAGCTACACAAATACACTCTTGTAGTCATGTGATCATATTTTGGGTACCTGGTAGCTGGTTCACTTTTGTGGCAGTTTGCAGCATCCTATGGCCATATGCCCATATTTTTTTTACTGTTTTGCCAGTTTCCAGCATTTATTTCCAGCAAAAAGGTCATTGAGTAAAATTCAGGGGAGAATTTGCTTTACAACCAAAGCATTCACTTAATGACTGCTGCAAAATTGTTGTATACTCAAAACTGGTTATGTGGTGATATGCTTAATCACCACAATGACTTAACAACTGTAATTCTGGGCTCAATTACAGTTGTCAGTTGCGTACCTATATATCATTAAGTAAATATCTTTAGAATTGCCCAAATTTCATATTTGGTTTTACTGTAACATGCTGGTAGGATGAGGTTATTTTTCTGCTAGCTAAAACAACAGTTTCTTTTCTGTGATTTACATCAATATTCCAAGCCATGTTCCATGGTGAGAAAAGCAGGGGCTCATGGTGTGCTGACAGATTAGCTGTCTAAAACATTTACGATCTTATTCAAACAGCTGTACTTGATGCTTTCTACCATAAAGATTAGTATAAATAATGTTAACATTAAAGATGCAATGATAAGCGCAGTGGTAGCACAATGGTTGGAATGCAGTATTGCAGGCTATTTCTGCCAATTGCCAGGAGTTTGATTCTATCCGGCTCAAGGTTGACTCAACTTTCCATCCTTCCAAGGTCAGTAAAATGAGGGCCCAGATTGTTGGGTCAGTATGCTGACTCTATAAACTACTTAGAGAGTGCTGTAAAGCACTTTGAAGCAGTATATAAGTCTAAGTAGTATTGCTATAATGGTGATTAACTAAAACTGATAACGGCAAAATTACTTAAAACTGGCAATATTAGGGTTACCTTGAAGTTAAAATATACTATTTCATTATAGTGTCTGTTTTTAAATGATGTAATACAGTCCATACATTCCTTCCCAATTTACAGTTGCTGTGGGTTTCAAGGTCAAGGTTCAAGGTTTTATTATATCATTGAGATTTGGTTTGGGAGAGTGACAATGTCACTCTCACTAAATTCTGTCTTATAGCAGTCTTAATCCCTAGATGGTGGAGGCAGTGTCAAGGGTGATCTAATGACAATTCATGGTCTTGCCATATATGTGGTTGTCAGTAAGTATTATAATTTTGAGCTAATGGGACAGTTAGGATCCTGCTTATGCAATTCATCTTGCTGCATTGCCAATTTTCTCCTTGACTTCTTGGGACTTACTGTGGGGCTGGGCTTTGGGTAATAATTTTAATTTCCATATCTGTAAAGAAGGTTTTGGGAAAGTTCAGGAGTCAGTCATGGGTTGGAAATGACATACATAGGCAGTTACACTTTAGGTTTGGGTTTTAGGTCCCATCAACTCATCAGTGATCTGAAATTGGAAGGTAGAAGAGTGAGTCCTTTCGCGTAGTCAGATCAAATTACTCTGAGATTTGTCACCCCAGAATGTTTCTGCACAATGGGTAGACCAGCTAAGAGGTCTGCCTCAAGTCTGTAGGGCAAGAGTGTCAAACTTGATTTAATTGAGGGCCGCATCAGGGTTGTTTTTGACCTTGGGGGGGGAGGGGCATGGCCATGTTGGGGGCATTATGGTGGCCAAGTGCTAAGGCAGAACTTCCCTCAGACTCACCCTCACTCTCATTATACTCTTCCTTCCTTCCTCCATCCCTCCCTCCCTTCCTTTTTCATTCTCCTTACTTCCCCTCCCCCTATTTTTCCTTTCTTGCTCTCTTCGCATCTTTCCTTCTTTTTCTTTGTCTTTCCTCTTTCCCTTTCTCCTATCCTGTCCCTTCTTGCATGCTCAAATGCAAAAGGGGAAACATTTATCCTTTTGTTTTGCTTTTAGTTTGTTTTGGTAGCCCTCTGCCAGTGAAAACAGGTCGGGAGGGGCGTTTTCGGAGTAGACAGCCTCCTGCAGCCCTCTTCCAGTGAAAACAGAGCTTGGGAGGGGGAGCTCCATTTTTGCTGGCAGAGGGCTGCACGTGGCATCCAGGCCAGTCCTTTGCTGTTTCCGGGGCAGCACTGCAGGCCAAATCTAAGCACCCCGCAGGCCAGATCTGGCCCGCAGGCTCTGAGTTTGACATATAAGATCCAAATAGATTTCAGAACTTTGTAAAGCGGTCCAATTAAGCACTGATTGATCTCTGGAATTTACAGAAGGCCAGAGTATTTGACAAGATTGGCCTCTGAGCCTACTTTTTAATGTGTTTACTGAGGAGTTCCAGTGGAGGAAGATTAGGGGTGAATTGGACCAGATGCTGGTAAAAGATTACACTCAAGACAAAGCCATTGTAGTAAGGGTAACAAGAAGGACTTGTTTTTTGCCCTAATTGAATCTACAGCAGCTGTTGCTGTAGTAAACTTTACACATTTTGGAGGTGGAAGACATAGGTATTTGCCCTAATTGTATCTACTGCAGCTGTTGCTATAGTAAACTTTACACATTTTGGAGGTGGAAGACGTAGGTATTTGCCTGAGGGGCAGGCTGAAATTTTCTCACCTGGATTCTACATGGGCAAGGTCAGAAGAGGTGACTGTGATCAAATGTTGCAGTGAAGAAAGAGCTTGAAACTGAATGAAGCACAAGAGTTACTCTGCCCATTTAAATTTTTGTTCAGATCTAGTGTTGTCTCTTGATGATGCGACACTGGAATAGTAAGTTAATGCCATATTTAATATATTTTATTTTCAATTGTTTATATTGATTCAATTGTTGCTATTGCATATGTTTGATCTTATTACTTTAATTATTGTTTCATTTTATATTTGAAATGAAATATGGATAGCTATAGCACTTAGACTTATATGCCATTTTACAGTGCTCTACAGCCCTCTTTAAGCAGTTTACAGAGTCAGCATATTGCCCCCAACAATCTGGGTCCTCCTTTTGCCCACCTTGGAAGGATGGAAGACTGAGTCAACCTTCAGCTGATTAGGATTGAGGGAACTGAACTCCTGGCAATGTGAGCAGAGTTAGCCTGCAATAACTGCATTCTAACCACTGCACCAACACAGATACATGTTGTTAACGTTTTGTAAACTTCTAGATGGATATTGTTAATTGTTTTGTAAACTATTATGTCTGTATTGTTTTGGAAGAATATAAGTAAAATCAAATCAAATAATCTCTACTCGGCATTCTAGATAGGTAGTCGTTTAATGACTGGAATAGGGAATGGAAATACAATTATTAATGAAAGGGTCTCTAAGTGAAAAATCACATGATCACAACTATGCATACAATTTTACTTCAGTTTTCTTTTGCTTTACAGAAGGATAAGCCCTCAAACGGTCAGATAAGCCCAAATGGCAGGAAAGGTTTCCGGATCTCAACTCACGAGGGAGCAGGAAAAAGGGGCAAATCTTATAGCCTCCCCCCCCCAACTCCTGCCCTTTGGAATGCTTACCCTGGCATTAGGATAATTAGCAAGAAGAGAATTGATGTGTGTATTTCACCTTTATTGTAAAAGAAGGGATTACAAGAGAGTAAGCAGGCACACAATGGTGAATACACATAAAAAGGAATACCCTAGCATTGGCTCTTTGCCTATTGTGGGCTCATGGCTCCAAGCCCTTTAGGAGGTAAAAAAAAGCCCTCTGTATGAAATTGATTAGGGTTTTGTGAGTGTCAGGCAGCACTGCCAGCTTATAGGAGGACTTTAATCAACTAATTAAGGTCACAGCTGAGCTGGTTAACTTGTAGTTATTTATTTATTTTACCTTCAGGTCAGTCTTGGTATCAATAGTAATAGCATTTAGATTTATATATTGCTTTATAGTGCTTTACAGACCTCTCTTAAGTGATTTACAGAGTCAACATATTGCCCCCAGCAATCTGGATCCTCATTTTACTGACCTCAGAAGGATAGAAGGCCTGAGTCAACCTAGAGCTGGTCAGAATTGAACTCCTGGAGTGAGCAGTGAGTTAGCCTACAGTACTGCATTCTAACCACTGCACTAACCACAGCTCTTAGCATGGCTCATCAACATGAATAAGACCATGCCTATCTTAAAATTTATCCATTTCCCCATTTTTAATAGACATCTTACAAGGTATAAATATGTATATAACATGCAAACATTTTCCCCATCATCCACAATTGCCACATTCCTTGTTGTAACAATGCAACCTATATAACATTTGTTCAAAATTGTGCAGCTTGTGGGCCAACAACAGAACCTATATGCCAAAATACATGTTCATTTATGTCCAAGTCAACACCCTTCTAACATCAGCCCAAATATTCCTTAGACGTTTATCTATAAATATATTAGTCAATGGGATATCATTTGATTAATAATAATAATTCATCCTTATCTTGCTCTATGTTGAATTATTCACTAAGTGTTCCATATATTTCTGTACATGCCTATTATTTCTGTTACTTCCATTTACACTTATGGCATTTAGCAAACAACCTGCAACTTCATTGTTGTCCAAAGTATTCCATAATGTAATATTTTTTAAGTTTGTAAAATATTATACACACACACACACACACACACACAATTTTCTCACATTAATTAATTTCTCAGTGAACTACTGAAGAATAAAAGTTTGGGATGCATATGCCCTAACCTTCATAGAGCCATGCTGTACTTCCTAAATTTTCCTTGCATACACTATCAGCACCTTTAGTGGCATATTTAACAAATTAATATTTCAGTAGATATTTAATTCACTCAAACCATCTGTACCCATAACAGTTTTTCAAAGTTCTCAGCCTATTTATAACTAATTGTTCATCATATTTCTTCTTGGAAAACATTCATAGCTTTCTTTTAATTCTAGTTTTGACGTAATCACTATCAGACTCCTCTTAACATACCCTCACTTCACTCTATTCCAAGTCATTGCTCTACTTTTATTTATTTTTCAATTCCATTCACACTTTTGGAGCCTCCTTGTCTAACCTCCCTCATTTACTTCTAAAACATTTGTTTCCATCCAAATTGCTCTGCATTTTGTGTGCCTCGTTTAAATGTCTTTAATCCTTCCTTGCTACCTTTGCTTACAGTCTTTGCAACCATTTTCTTTTGTCTTTCTCTGTCTCTCTCTCTCACACACACATGCACACTCTCTCTCTCCATACACATATCTTTTGGTAATATTGGGGGGGGGGGTTGCAGAAATTACCATATTTTTAGGACTATAAGACACACCAGAGTCACTGTTCCCTCTAAGGTGCGCGGCTGCGCGGCCGCGCACATGGCAAGAAATCCCCGCGCAGAGTTTTCTAACTGCCGCGCAGAGGTTTCTTTCAAAGCAAACGTGGGGAAGTCCTTTGCGGGTGGCTAGAACTGGCCGCCCGCAAAGGACCTCCCCAAACTTGTTTCAGCGGCAGCTCTCAGCCTACGGCGGCAGCGTCACGCAGGCTGTGGAAGGAGCGGGAGGAGGAGGGAACCAAAGAGAGGCTTTTGCCGAGTCTGCGCCCCACAGCCAAGACCGTCCTTGCGCCTCAAGCTGCGTTTCTTCCTGCAAAGCCCTTCTGGCGTCAAGCAGAACTCTCGGGTTGCCCGAAGGGCTTTGCAGGAAGAAACGCGGCTTGAGGTGCAAGGACGGTCCTGGCTGTGGGGCGCAGACCCGGTAAAAGCCTCTCTTTGGTTCCCTTCTCCTCCTCCTCCTCCTCCTTCCACAGCCTGCGTGACG